ATTGAAGAGGTGAACATGTTTACAATCCAGGGAACAGTGATCCACTTTAACAACCCTAAAGTTCAGGCATCTCTGGCAGCGAATGCTTTCACCATTACAGGCTGTGCTGAGACAACGCAGCTAGCAGAAATGCTCCCCAGCATCTTAAACCAGCTTGGTGCAGACAAGTCTGACTAGTTTAAGGGGACTGGCTGAAGCTCTGCCCAAACGATCTGTGGATGGAAAAGCACCACTTGCTACTGGAGAGGAGTAGGATGATAAAGTTCCAGATCTTGTGGAGAATTTTGACGAGGCTTCCAAGAAGGAGGCAAACTGAATTGTGTCAGCTTCTGAAAAGGATAAAACTTGACGAAGTTCCTGGGAGCTGCTATTTTCTATTATGACTGCTTTTTTAAATTCTGCTTTCGAGATCTCTAATATGTTTAAGCCTAAGCCCCTTGGACACTGCAGGTCTTTTCAGTTTTTCCTTATACATACTTCATTCTTTGCAGCTAATTAAGCTGAAGAAGCCTGATAAAGTTTGGAACAATGGTTAATAAAATTGCCTAGTTAAAAAAAAAAAGAATGTATTCAGTACCCCTGTGAATTTAACATTTTACAGGCTGAAATTACATTTATTAGTGTATTTCAGAAGCAGAAATGAAACAAAAGGTACAAGTAAGTCCTTCAGAACTGATCACTCAATTTAATACATGCAAAGCATATTTTGCATAAGAACTTCCCTAACAGCACTTCTAAAAGTGATTCAGGAACCAGACATGTGGCAAAGCAGTAAAACTCAACACTGTGAGACTGACCCACATGGGAAGGTGCTGGATTAGCATCCAGAGACCTCCCTGGGCCATGTATGTGCCCATATTCCCGGTCTCACTGAAGCCGGGGTTGGGTCATAGCAATAAGACCTTGTTGGAGGTGCTGTTTCTCTCTCTCTCTCTCTCTCAGAAGATATACATTTAAAAACTTAAAAAATAGTAATAATTTGGGGCTGGGGGCCTGATTGAGCTTTATTTCGTCAGAAGTTCATAGTTTCAAAAATACTCTTTAAAGGGAGAAAAAAATCATGAAGAAAAAAACACCTGTACTGACTTAGATTCCTCTACAGAAGGATAAATGTGATACGAGAAAAAAAAAAAAAAAGGTGGAAAAACCACAATGGAAGAAGGATAAATGTGATACGAGAAAAAAAAAAGGTGGAAAACCACAATGGTCTTAACTGATCATGCGAATATATCTTACTTTTATAAAACTTACAAAATTTTATAAAAAATTATGGCAAGGACTCAATACTAAGGTCCCTCAAAAGAGCCTGTGCAAGTGAAGGTGGGAGAGGAGAAGCTGAGGTTTATGCACACTTACTTTACAATTAGTCCTCCCTGCAGCCCTCAGGGGCCCAAGCTAATCACCAGAGCACATCTAAACTGCAGAGTCTGCAGGGAAAAACGACAGCATGCTGTAGGGCACGATCAGTTCAGGACAGTGACAACATGGTAGAGCACTAACAGAAGGAGCCCCCAGTGGCCCCTGGCCATGACAGACTGGACAGGATACATACCGTACTCTTGTTGACAGAGTGGTGCAATACTAAACAGAGCGTAGAGAAAGAGCATTATAAAATATCAGGGCTGGGTAGGATGGCATTAAATGATGTTACATTATTTTATTTAATTTTTAATTGTGATAAATTACTATCACTTAAGCTACCCAGTCTATGGTATTTTGCGGGACAGCCCAAGCTGACTCAGATATGGGCAGTAAAAATGTAAAGACACGCCCCAGAATATATATATTGAAATCTCAAACCTCCAGAACTGTTCCATGTTTGGAAATGAGGTCTTTAAAGGGATGATTAAATTTAAATGAGACTGTTAAGAGCTGGCTCTGTGGCCTGGTGGTTAAGGCAGCTAGATCCCACATGCTCAACCATGCAGTTTGAGACCCAGACTTGCAGCTTGAGAAATATTCCATCCACATGTGCCTGTAAGCTCAAAATCCTGAAAGGAAGGAAAGATGGAGAAGAAGGGATTGCAGTGTGACCATATTCCATGGTGAGGAAGGGGTATTCTCTTCTCTCTCTCTCTCTCTCTCTCTCTCTCTCTCTCTCTCTCTCTGGCAAGCACATGTGCTAGGAAAAATAATAAAAAATAAACTTTAAAAAAAAGAGTCAGATTTTGAAAGCTACACACTGTATATCCCCACTCAATATGTATCAAATGTTTGTACTCAATGACAGAAATGAAAAGATTCAAAGATATAACAGTAGAGAGGATGAGTGTAGATACCAGAGACTGTAAAGGAGGGCAATGGGTGGTAAAAAGTGGGCGGGAGGGGCAAAGGGAAGGAATATTTAACAGACTAAAGCATATAAAGTTCTCTGTTGAAAAAAAATTCTGTGATTTTTGCTGAAAAAATATTTTTGAAGCTTTTTCTTTCACGGTCATCACCAGAGCAGCAGTGGCCAAAATGAAGTTCAGTCCTTTCGTGACTTCTGACCGAAGCAAGCACCATAAAAGGCATTTCAATGCATCTTCCCACATCTGAAGGAAGATTACGTCTTTCCCCTTTCCAAAGAGCTGAGGCAGAAGTACAACATGCAATCTATGCCCATTGAAAGGACGATGCAATTCAGGTTGTGCGAGGACATTATAAAGGTCAGCAAATTGACAAAGTAGTCCAAGTTTACAGGAAGAAATATATCATCTATATTGAGTAGGTGCAGTGGGAAAAGGCTAATGGCAGAGCGGTCCATGTGGGATTCACCCCAGCAAGGTGGTTATCACTAGACTGAACAAAGACCACAAAAAGATCTTTGAACAGAAAGCCAAGTCTCGCCAAGTAGGAAAGGAAAAGGGCAAATATGAGGAAGAAACAATTGAGAAGATGCAGGAGTAAAATAATCTTATATACAGTTCTTATTAAAAACTGCTAAAATGAAAAAAAATGAAAATGGAAAAAATTCAGTAAGATCATTAAATATTACCATAAAATTTGTTTTAAATGAGGCTGCTAATGTAGAGCCTCATGCAACTGGTGTCCTTATAAGAAGAGGAGGTGACAACAGGGGTGTGCATGGAGAATGATGTCCATGTAAAGAGGAAGCGAAAGGACAGCCATCTGCAAATCAAGGAGGGAGACCTCAGAGGAAACCAGCCCTGCCAGCACCTTAATCTTGGACTTCCAGCCTCCAGAACTGTGAGAAGATACATTTCTGTTGTGTAAGCCACCTGGTCTGTGATATTTTGCTATGACTTCCCTGGCCTAACAAAGTAATTCAGAGTTTAAAAAGAAAATCCAAATATTAACTAAGAGGAAAATATTTAATGATAGTAGAAAAATAGATGAAGAAGATAGAAAAGAAAAAAAGGGCAAAATGAGAGATGAGAGAAAGGCTAAAAACATGTCTTTATTTTTCCTTATTAATATTTTATTTGTTTTCTTCCATTAAGATATAAAAAATATTTTTTATTTTATAAACAGAAATGCCAAGTGAAGAATTAATTAATTACCTGGAGAAGTGAATTAATATAAAAGCCTAATTCAGTCTAAGTCCCTTTTTTTTCCCCTTAATAATGCTTTTAAATTCACAACACCTTTTGTGTTTTTAGAAAAGTCATGACACATTTTTGCATAGAAAAATGTAGAAAATCACATCATGTCTTTTCTAACAATCCAATATGTAATTGCCTTCTTTTACTCACCTCCATGAATAACACTAATAGTTCATTGACTCCAATGTTCTGGAAGAACATACCCAACAGCTCAATTTCAAGGGCCAAAGAACAAAAATAATAAACTTATGAGGAAACCATAAAAAAGAAGAACCAAAACCTATGGAAAACTTAGGAAAAATTTGAAATGTATTAGTCAACAGATAGGAGTATGGCTTAATTTGCAGTTGAAATGGCTAAGATATTAAACTACTTTTGGAAAACTATAATTTTAAGTGAAGTTGGAGGGAAAAATAGTAAAAAACAATTTATTATTTTTTTTTTTTGAGATTTTTTTTTTTTTTTTTTTTTTTTTGCTGTAGGGCTCATGTGCTCATCATAAAGACAGAGGAAGAAAAAGTGAGAAATCACCCCCAGAAGGGATCGTCTTACCACAATCCCTACTCCTCATTCTCCTCTTGGAAATGTGGGTGCATGCACCTGGTGTGAGTTTCAAGCAACCACAATCCCTACTCCTCATTCTCCTCTTGGAAATTTGGGTGCATGCACTTGGTGTGAGTTTCAAGCAGCCAGGTCAGGGATTTGAACTGCAATTGACCATGTGGGCGTTCAGAACCTTAACCACTATGCCACCTTCTGGCCCCCACATGTAAATTATTTTTTAAAAGGTAAGAATACTTACATTTTTTTTTTTTAATCTTGGCAACAGACCCAGATGGTACTTCCACTCAGTTTCTTGATTTGCCAACTGAAAAGGTTTGCAATGCACTAGAATGTCACCGCTTCTCTATATTGCGAAGGAGACTTACAATAAGGATATCAGACTGGAAAACTTACTCCTGGCCTCAGGCAGGTGTGTGGCCCTTAACTGAATCAAACACAAGCACATTCATTCGCACTTTCAAACCTTGGCTCAGGGTGCCGGAAAGCAAGATATCTTTCTGTAGCTCTAGTATTGTTTTGGTTTAGTTTGGTTTGGTTTACTTAGGAAGACAAATAGTTTTTGACAGGGCATTTCCAAATAAGACTTGTATTTTAAACTACGATTTTCATAAGAAGAGAAAGAACATCAGAAAGTCTTTGTCAAGAGAAATGCCTCACACCTGTCCCCTTCCCAGTTGATAGGCCCTGGGGGAACAGGGAGACGAAAGCAGTAGTACTGATTGGAATATGTGGTGGCCCTCAGGCCTGCGGGGTGCTGTGGGGTAGGGGTGAGGTTCGAAACCACTGACATAGAAGAACAATATAAAAAAAATATTCTGCAGCAATAAGAAAAATGAGTAAAAACATGTAAAAACAGAATTCTCATACTGGTTTTTATTTCCTTTACAAAACAAATGTTTAAAATTTTCTTACAAAATTGTTTCAAAAGACATACAGCACGCAGGAGATGAGAATAATATTCCCCTAACACAAAGGCATCAACATAGACAATTATTTAAGGTGCTAGATAGCACATATGGCACATTTATTCCTCAAGACCAGAATCCCTGGAGTTAATTACTTCTATTTTTTCCAACCCAAGATTAGTAGTTGTGGAAAGTAATGTGCTTAAACTGATATCTTTTATTGATTTCGGTTTTTCAGGCTCCTTCCAAGTAGTTTCCAGTGGCTTCCTGAAGGTTTCCGGAAGACTCAATGTTAGCAGTCCACTCAGACAGGCCAAAATCCCAACACACAACTAAAAGGAATTAAAAATAATAATACTAGTAAGTGACACATCAAGAAAGAGATGTACTCCTCAGAGAACAATATTTCTAAACCTTTTCCAGAGGGCAAACGATTGAGTTTGATGAAACATGTTTTCATTCCTTGGAGTCCTTTGATTACTTACACTGGACTAGGAGCTCTCTAACTCACCATCCAGTCTTAGCCTGATCATCCATTAGTTCATTCATTCCTGAACTTCTGTGAAGCATCTGCTCAATCTGCAGCCACAGAAAACTCTTGCAGGCGCTCTTAGAAATTATGGTCACAGAGAAAAAGACCATGCCCCGTCTTTCCACACCCCGGAGGCTTGTGAAGGAGTCAACCCACAAGACCCAAGTTGAGACTTAACTGTTAGAGACTAGCTTGATCAACCCTGTCCCGCTCTGATAATCAGTACCCTATCAGCATTCGTAAATCAGTGAATGAATGAATATGTTATGAAGAACCAGAACCCATTGAATTTACGGGGAGCCAAAATAAAAGTAATAGAAACGAATTGCTTCTTGGCAGAGGGTGGGGGCAAAGGACAGAGTCCTTCTGATTTCCTGTAAAAGTTCAGTATGATCCCTTTACTTTCCAGGATTTGATGCATAAAAGGTGTGCTTTTAGCGTAGGGACAAGATATTCGTTTGCAAAAAGAAAAATTACATTGGCCCAAGGGTGGCAGCACATGCTGGATATGGCTGCTTGGCAGGCCAAGGTCACATGGGAGGCCCAGATTTAATTTCCAGCCCACCCTAAAAATTCTGGGCTTGGTGGCATACACCTATGGGCCTAGGCAGCCAGGAGACTGGGGCCGGCAGATCATGACACAGCAAGACTCTGTCTGGAAAACAAAACAAAAAAAGCCACACACGCAAATGCAAGGCACATTACAAATTAAAGTCTACATATTTATTCATCGTAGATCATTATAATGATGTTGATGGTTTCTAGAACTTAATCTCCATACAGTCGAAAAATATGATCCATCCTTACATAATTTAAACTCTTTCAGCAAAAAAAATACTCGCTGGAAAGACCTCATAAAAATACATTAAAGCATAGTTTTTTCCTGACAAATTCACACATTTGGTACGTTTACAGCCTCTGAGAATGAGAATCATAAACTACACAGTGCAACGGTGAAGCAGGACCATCTCCAATAGCAGATGAGACCTGGGAAAGCACTTCTTATTTTGTTACATAGGTAACCTAATTCTTAGAAATATATGAGAAAGCTTAATCCAGAAGAACAGCAGAATTTAAAGTGACATTCCAAAGGATTTTTAAAAGCATTTTCTGGCATGTCAAGACACAGCAGATCTATTCAGTGATCTAGAAACCTCAGAGGAGCCCAATGTCAGGATCTGAAAAACAGTGAATAAGTCTAAAAGCAAAATAGGATTAAGTGGAAGATCAGACATGGGCACGAATTTTTCTTCCCAGCTTCATAGTAAGAATAATCAAGGGGTCAGCAGATGGCATAGCAGTTATGTTACTAGACTCCCAAATGGCCAACCAGGGTTCGAGTTCGGGACTCAGTGGCTTGAAATTCACACCAGGTGCATGTGCATGTGTGCCCAAGATCCTGGGAGGAGAATGGAGAAGAGACTGAGACATGGCCATCCCTCCAGGGGTGAGTTTTCACTTTCCCTCTCACTGTCTCTGTCTCTCTTAAGTGCATGGCAATTGCATGCACCCTAAGGTAAAAACCTGAAAAGAAGAAGAAGAAGAAGAAGAAGAAGAAGAAGAAGAAGAAGAAGAAGAAGAAGAAGAAGAAGAATCAGAAGAAGAATCAGGCAGTAAACATACCCCCGACTCCCATTTTCTCCTCACTCCGCTGTCCTGGCCATCTCACCCCCACTCCTACTCCCACACCAAGGCAAACATCCCAGTCGGCCCCCACCTTCCCCATCTCTCCAATCTTCCTGGCCAGGCAGGTCTTCTCCCCTCCCCAGATCCCATCCCTCTCACCTCCTCCTCAAAGACTCTCTCCATCAACAGTGCATGAAAGGTGGGGGACGGGGGATGGGGGTGGGGGTGGGAG